CTTTTCTCATTGGAGCGAAGAAGGATGAGAGGTGACTCAAGGTGATGAGAGACATAGATAGAGTGGATACCCAGAGACTTTTTTTCCCAGGGTGGAAATGATTATTACGAGGGGGCATAATTTTAAGGTGATTGGAGGAAGATATGGGGAGATGGCAGAGGTAGGTTCTTCACACAGAGTGGTGGGTGTGTGGAATGCGCTTCCGGCGGTGGTCGTGGAGTCAGATACATTAGGGGCATTCAAGCGACTCTTGGGATAGGCATATGGAGGATAGTAAAATGTAGGGTATGCAGGGTAGTTTGATCTTAGAGTAGGATAATAGGTTGGCACAACATCGTGGGCCAAAGGGCCAGTACTATACTGTACTGTGCTGTACTGTTCAATGTTCTAAACTGTCTATGGACTCTCGTTACCTCATTTTTGAAGGCTTCACATTTTCCAACCATCCCGTTACCTGCAAACATCCACCCCCCAATCAACTTTTGAAAGTTATTGCCTAATACAGTCAAAATTGGCCTTCCTCCAATTTAGAACTTTAACTTTTAGATCTGGTCTGTCCTTTTCTGTCACTATTTTAATAACGAAATCCAAAGTGGGACATGAAGAACAGAGTGTACAAACGTAGGAAAGCAGCAGCAAATAGGATCATATGAGGAATAAATGGTAAAAAGACAAAAATAATGGACCTTTTCTTAAATGCATGTAATATCTAGAACAAAACTGTTACACCTCACTGGAGTAGCGCACTGAAGTCAAGCCCCACTATTCCTAGAGTCGTCATAAAAATTAAAGATTTTTGAAAATTGAGAATTCCCTAATTTGCCTGTCTTTTAGTTCTGGATGACAGCATGGACCAGGTTTATCTACATCACAAGAATTACTATTAATTACAAATAGACTCCAGATACATGTAAATAATAATGAACCATCTGCATTCGACTCTTCTAGTTAAAAGTCAAACCTTATAAACTGCAGAGAAAAGGGACAACTCATCCCCTTTTGGAGATTGTCTCATTAAAGGAGAAAACAAAGGGAGAGATTGAGTGAGCTGACAGTCGTTGGCAAACCTGTCAGTGGTGGTGCAAGTGGTTGAAAAGTGATGAGGTGTGCTGACAGAATGAAGAAGTATGCTCCTACTGCCTTAATACACCATGCAAGTGGTCTGGTGAGTGAGAGAAGATATTGCAGACAATAGTGATAGTAGAGCATGAGCCTTGGTGGGAGGTCATTACAGAGTTAGTGAGTGTAAAGTTGCAGAGCGAACGGTGTGCCTTACTCTGGCACAGCAGTGTAGTTCTTCCACATAATGGCAATGGCCCTCAGTCAGGTGGTAACCTCTGACTATGTTGCCACAGTCTGGTGGTGTGGCCTCTGCCAGTCCTCCAGGAAGAGGACTCCTCTCCTGGAACCTTTGCTTTGTCTGGGTCCCTGTAGGAGCATCATGGTGCTATCCTTGCCTTCACCAATTTCAGATTCTTTCCGTCAACAAGCAGTGCAGCTTCGGAATGTCAGTACTCATTCAGGTGCACAGCCGTCTTTTAAAGAGTGCACAGATGTGAGAAGTGCTGTTCTTTCATTGAGTGGTGAGTTGTCCTGGGAATGGCATGTGAAAAGATGGGGACAATCCAACATGAGGGACATAGTAGGAAATTAATGCAGCAGGTTTTGTAAAATACTTCAAGAGAACTTGCTATGCGTAACATCAACGCAACTGTGACTTAGCCAAAAAGATGTAACGTTTAGCCCAACATATTGTGGATCCAACCAGGATTCAAGCTAATTTTGGATCTAGTAAAGTGTAATGAAGCATGTTTAATGAATGATCTGAGTAAGAGATCTCTTTGAAACAGTGACTATAACGTGGTAGAACTTAGCATTCCATTTGTTGCAGGAATTTCTGGGGTCTGATAACCGCACTTATATGCAAAGAGTAACTAGACAGTGATCAGCAGAGTGTTAAAATGGCAGTTGTTATTTCCTTATAACAAGGGACTCGAGTATCCAAAAATGATGTGCTGGGACAACAAAGGATTACAGAGGCAGTTATACTTGAACAAAGAACAATACAGCATACAAACAGGTCCTTCGACCCACCAATCCTGCACTGATTCCTAATCCTCATCTAGACCAACTACTTACTGACCATATGCAGTTTCTATTTCTCTTCACCTCCCGTTCATGTGTCTATCAAGCTATGCCTGAAATATTACGAACATGCCTGCTTCCACTGCCTCAACTGGCAGTGTGTTTTAGGCACTCCATATCTTGTGTGAAAAATCTTCCCTGCACTTCTCCCCTAAACTTCCCCCTCTCACCTTGAATCTGTGCGCATCTGTAGTTGACTTTTCCAACCTGGGGGGAAACAGCATCTATCTATCCACCCCATCTATGCCTCTCATAATTTTATAGACCTCTGTCAGATCACCCCACAGCCTCTGTCATTCCAGTGAAAACAATCCGAATTTTCCAATCTCTCCACATACCTAAAACCCTCCGGATCAGGCAACTTCTTGGTAACCCTTCTCTGCATGCTCCTGGTCATCTGGTAACCAGAACTGCACGCAAAATTCCAAATGTGGCCTAACTAAAGTTTATACAGCTGTAACATAACTTGCCAACTTTTGTATTTGATGCCCCAGCCGATGAAGGCAAGCGTACAAGAGCAAATACTCTTGGATTTGATCATAAGAAATTAACATATACCAATTAAAGAGGTGTACAATTATCTAAATCTAATCATTACAGTTGATTAAGTTTATAATCATGCAGAGGATGAATTAACCTATCATTACATAGGTACACGTGCCTAATCGTAGTGTACGACTACTGTGAAGGTATGTATGGTACAAATGATCAGGTCTGGTTGCACTATAGGTTACAAGTTGTCCTTGACGTAACAGTTCATGTCTGACCTGTGTGTGTATCAATTATCCTCCCCTGTCTGATGCTAGTAGTGTTTTAATGACTTCAAGGCTCAGAGGTTCAATGAATAAACAACCTCTTTGTTCAGCTTTGAGCATTATCATTATTATTCCTTTGCTATCTTGCAGATAAATTGGTTCCTAGAACAAATGGTCTTGTGTATTGTTTAACCAACAATTTTGTGTCAGTGAGTTTATCTACAGCTAGCAGCTCACAACTGTCATTTAACTATTGCTCTGCAAGTAATTTTATAATATTTTTTTTTAAACCTCTTCACCATGTGAAAAACACGAGTCAGAAACAATTATGCTAAACTTAAATTAGGGTAATTACAAAATAATGAGGGTAGGAGTTGAAGCAAAACCATGCCTGTTTTACATGAGGGTAATATTTAGGAAAAACCTACTCCCTTCTCAAAATACTGGTCCTTGAAGAGTCCATTTCCATGGTTGCCAGCAGCACTGTAATCTCTTAGCCAAATAACCACGTGGGATAGTTAATAGTGCAGGATACCACAGATGACAATCTTGATCTTGCCCACATTCACACTACTTTACAACAAAATAGCAGGACAAAAGTCAAAACATCTTTCAATCAGGAGCATTTGAATGGAATACAATGAGCCTGTTCTGTTCTACCTGAGACCAGTTAATAATCCCTGATTAGGAAGTAAACCTGAGACTTTTATTCTGATCTGCATGACTCATTATCTTGCCAGGGGATGGATTTTATTCATTGAGCCGTTAAGGGCATTCATTCTTCATTTGCCATTGAAAGTAGGTCATTGGCAATTAATGTAACCACCAGCCATAGTGGCAAAGTTAGCAGCAGCACCCAGTTAGTAGATGTTTCCCATTGGAAGGGATTGGTTCCCAGTCTATTCAAAAACCACCACATCCAATTGACATGAAAGGAACTATTCTGGATTTCTCCACGTCTTCACTGGAAGTGTTAAAAGCAAGCAAGAAAGCTTGTATTGTGCATTAACTCAAAGTAACTTTATTTACCTATATTACTGGTTCTCCAAGCACGTGTTTAATGCTCCTTATGTGCAAAGGATGTTTGACTTGGTGCCAGCAATCATTCAGTCTCTACTGGCTGCCTATTGTACCAGGTACTTTAATTGTGAGAGGGTGAAAGGAGCTCAGATGTGGGACTGATGTCGAACATGCAAAGACTGATGTCTATATTTTAAAACAAAAGTATTAAAAGGTTGCAGCCCCATTAGGCAGATATAGGATTTTGTTGCAGTGACAGCAAGGAAGGCAACTTTACAAATTTGATATCACACCTTCTAGATACTAACCTTGACAGTCTGAATGCCCTAACTTCTCACCTTCAAATGGTGAGACAATCCAAGCCAGTATGGTGGGAATTTGTAGATGATGGTATCAGCTGACTAGTCTAAGCAATTTGTGCAGAACACGGAAAGGAAAAGACTTCTATCATATAGCAGTGCTGATCAGAAAATGTGGACATCAAGAATGACTTCTACATCCAAAATGAAATGCATTGTCTGCAATAAAAGCAATCACAATTATATCAAAAGAATAAATATCTGTGGAGTTCCCATTGTCTGTACAGCTAACTTTGAACTTATTGTAACAATTTTATTTTCTTTACAACATCAATTCCTTTGAATTACAGCTATTATCATTCATCAGTTCACAAAAAAAACAAATTCAAAAGCTTTGCTTAGTGCTTTATTTCACCTTTCTCTTTTCTTTCTTTCTCCCACTTTATTTGTTGCCATCCTCTTCCCCAGATAGTAATGAATAGTTCTTCAGTGGAAGAATGACAACAAATTACTATCCATATCTCAACTGCCAGAAATCTGACTTGTACTTAGGCAGAAATCTGTTGTCAATAGGGTACAAACTCAAGAAGGATATTTTTGAAACATAAAGCAGTCTTTAAATGGGTTATTTTTACAGTTCTTCAGGCACAATTACTTTGCAGTATTTAATATTTTGGCTACTGTCACTTTCTAATGTGTACTGTATTAATGTGTATTTTCTATAATGACTAAAGGATATCTTTCATCATCCAATAATGACCCATTGATTTTTTGCTGCCAGCTACTCCTAACACAACAACTGTGCATCCATCCACTGAATCTCCAAACCATACAGCAACAACGCAAATAACCACCAAAACAGAAACCACTGTAACAACTGTGCTTACAACCGGTAGGCCAGCAACCACCAAATCTGGGAGTGGCACGGCAACTACTACCACAGCAGCTTCTGCAAATAGTACAAGTATGTATCTTTAAAGGGTTGAATTTTGGAGTTATGCTCTAAACAAAATAGAGTATGATGATATAAATTTGGAATTTTTGCCACTTTTAAATATTTAATTTTGTGCAGATTGTAAGAAATGATTCATTGGATTTTTTTTTTGTTAACAGCTGAAATATTGCTAAGAAATTGTGAATAAAGGGTGGTATAAAAGTGAAGACCTTATTTAATATTTAAACCTCCTGTGCAGATGTGTGTGTGTGTGAGACAGCAGATAAAGTAGCAACGTTGAGTTGAGACAATGATAATTGTAGATCTTGAGCTAGACACTTGTTGTGGTGGGTGTGAATGGGGCACCATTTTCATTTCAATCAAACAGACAAGTAAGAATGATCAACATGAGATGATCGAAAGAAGATTAGTTCTGTGTTATCAGAGGCCAGCATGGGAAGAGATTGGAGATGGGGAGAAAGATTGGAGTCCAGGTCAAGGGTGGGAGTGATAGCAGCAGGGACCTGACTTTCAAACGTAGGTTTGAGAAGAGTGATCCAGCATCACATTCAGAAAAGTTTTTTACTTTTGGCTGAAGCCTACTGGGCAGTATTCTTACAGCCTTGTTTTCCTTAACAAAGCAACCTTGAAGTGTGGACCTCATTGGTTCAGCCATTTGTATTTTCATACAAAACACTTGATCCAGGAATTGACAATGATTAGCCAATATTTTTTGCCCATCTCCAATATGTTAGGTGGTACAATTTCAGGTGGGAATGTGTACACTTTTACCCCTCCCCCTCCCTATTTTGGAGAATGATAGCCTAGTTATTGCTTGAAACAGGTGTTGTGCAACCTAATGTCTACGCCAATATCTACCTTCTATAGTAATTAGAGGCTGAAGATACTATATGAGCCATATCCCTTTTTAGATGATAACAATTAAAAATCCTTACCATACTATTTTATTGCAGTCTTGATATGTTGTAAAAGCTGAATTTGATCTGCGTCTGCGTCAGTTTTTGCTTTATGATCAGCCATTTAAAAAAGTTTGTTCACAAAGATGCACATTCAGTTTCTATTAAGCATCCTTATTGTTATTGCTGTTACTTGTTTCTCTTCTCAGGTGCTGATATTATTACAACTGCCTTGCCTATTGTTTCACATTTTGATATTGGAAGTTTTGTAGGCGGTATTGTGCTGGCTTTGGCTGTCATGGCTGTTTTCTACCTTGGACGAAGATTTTGCATTTCCAGAAGTGGCACTCGGTACAGAACCATGTAAGAAACTTGCATCATTTTAAACAAATCTTTCCTCCCTTAACGTTAAAAATTCCAAACTTGATGACTCAGTAGCTTAATAAGTTAAAGAAGTATATGAGCCAAACAGCAGGTTCAATCCCTGGTCTGTGAACTGGCAGCAGGGTAATAAATGGTTTCACTTCCCCTTAGCCTTAGAAAGGAACTTTTCTAATCTGTCTTTGATCATTAGTCAATGCTGGATTGTGGTACTAGAGCTGACTGATATCTGTCTGTTAACTATGTCAAGAGAGAAGAAAGCTAAAATCAGAAAGGGTACATACATACAAGTTAGGAGTAGGCATAGACCAGTCAGCCGTCTAGTCTGCTTTTGTTGAGATCCAGAGATCAAGCTGTTAAAATAAAGAGGGCTAATGGATTTTAAATATGAAAAATCCAATAGATATTCACAAACCTAGTGTAAAAATATAGTTATAATGTTAAATGTACTATTGGACTGCACACAATGCACAGGATCTCTAAGCTTTAGATATAGTATACCGTAAATACATGCAGGCACCAATTAAGACTTGGCAAAACTACATCTTTTTTCATTGGAAATCAGGTTTGGGATGCTATAATGAAAATGTTTAAAATTATGAAATAGAAAAAGGTAGAAGTGTAAAGGCACAAATGTGGAAGAAGCCCACTTGGTGCATCATGCCTAACTTGTACATCAACTCCACTTTCTCACCCGATCTTCATATGTCTTGATGCCTTCAATGACCAAATATATCAAAGTCCATAATGAATCTACTCATCAACTGAGTATCTAGAGCCCTCAGGCAGAGACTTCTAAAGATTCACAACTCTGAATGAACAAACTCCTCCTCCTCTCAATCCTAAATAATTAGCTCCTTATTCTGTGACTATTTCCCCAGTTCTAAACTCCTGCCAAAGGAAATAGCCTCTCCGCATCGACATGATCAAATTCTCTTAAGAATTTTAAATGTTTCAATTAAATTATTTTCTGGTCTTCTGAGCTAGAGAATGTGTTAATTCCACTCCATCTCTCTTTCTAGAATAGTCCTCTCATTCTTGGAACTGTAGACTGTATTTCTAGTTGTTAATGGATCTTCAGTAGGGGCCCACAGAGACGAGTCTAAATGTAAGAAATTTAGAACAGAGCAGGTGAAACTGCTTCATATTAAGAGTTGAGAGTTGGTTGTTGATCTGCAAACTAAGTCAGTATTCAAGATTATTCTGGAAAGATGGTTGAAAGGGGAAAGCTGTATCAGTCTCATTAGGATAGGGGATAAATACTAGCATAAACTAGTTGGATAAATTATCTATTTTCAAGCATGTTAATGTGAAATAATAGGGAATGAGGTAATTTTCAGTCCTCAGTGAGTTCAAGATTGGAGTCATGGAGGGGGAAAAAAATCTGCCAGTTTCAAAAGCGAGGAATGAAATTTCAAAGTTGAAATAACCAAGATGAAGGTTAAATATAAATATCACCATCTTACTGTATACAGTTTCAGTCAATACTTTATGATTAGATCACTTTGCTGATATGAAGGATGCTAAATAACCATGGTATCATTGTTTTCCTTAATTGATGACTGCCCTAAAAAGTCAATGACTTCTCTTTTCAAACACTATACTTTTTCTATTTTAAAGAGCTAAAACCTTGCCTAGATTGTGTTTGCCCTTGGCATTACAGTAAGTGAATTATTTTAAAATCATATCTATTATTTTGTGGTAGGATGGCAAATATTTTTCACTGTATGACCCAACAACAACAATATTTACAAGTAATAAAATGTCCCAAAGTGCTTTACAGAAGTATTATGAAGCAAAATTAAAGCATCATGCCCCATAAAGTGACATTAGGGCAGATGGCCAAAAACTCAATCAGAGATTTTAAGGAACCTCTTAAACTCTCTGCTGTGCTTTCTTATTTTAAGTGAGAAAATTCCAGAGTTCAAGACTGAAGCAGCTGAAGGCTTGTCCTCCAGTGCTGCAGCAATTAAAATTGGGATGTTCAAGAAGAAGTGATGATGGAGGAGGCAGTCAGCTCTTTTGTTAATGTACAGTGGTGGTTGAGGAACGCACGTGAATTCTCTTCAAACAAACTGCTAAGATACATCCATCTGAACATAGAGATAAGAATTTGAATTAATGTCTTACCCAAAACAGCTATTGTAGCAAAACAGTATCTCCTCATTACAGCAATGAAGATCACTCCAGCTTAGCGCAGGTCATGAAATGGGTTGTGAACTCTTAATTTTCTGATTCTGATGAGCATGTTGCCACTGATACTAAAACTTAATAGGAGAAATTAATTTCAACCATTCATCATCGGCAGGCAGAATTTATAGCCTGAAAACCATTTATTTTGAGGATTTATAAACAGTTCTCAGTGAAATTTTAGACTGAATTATAAAAGAAGTAATTTTATACTGTCAGCAAGAACAGAACACACTAGTCTTTGGTCAACAAGATTGGCTTTTGAGAAATTAAATGACAATTGCAAGTCTTAAAGTAATCTTCGGATCTTAGAAAACTCTTGCATAGAAGTAAATGCTAACTGCATCTGGACAGTGTTATACCTGACCTGGGAGTGCTTTAATAAAAACACAGGGTGAGATCTGTTTTCCCACTACCACAAAATTCATGATGAAAATTCTTGTAAACTAATTTATAACAATTGGCGCAGCAAAGCTGTCACTGGTAGAATAGCTGCATACACTGAAGGCCTAGACTTTTCTGTGACTGGATTCAAACTTCATCTGCATCTGACATCTTGCCTCTAGTGTTTCCACTCTGAATCCAATTGACATGAAAATTTATGGTGTGGTCCCTCTAAATGAAGAAAAACTGCTTCAGCATTTGCAGAGAAAAAAAACTTTTCAGAGTTTCTCTTCTTTCAATGTGTAATTGATCTGCACCAAGTACGAAGTCCCTTTCATTTTATACTGTCCCTTCCTAACTCTGATGCAACACCCAGGCTTTGCTACATTTCTGGCATCTAGAATTTTTTAGTGAAATTCATTGACATCTTATCAATGACTGAAAGTAGACTGAATGATAGTTCATGTTATTCTTATATTCTTCATAATCTTGCCCAAATGAGTGATTACATTTTAACATCTGATTTATTGTCACATGTACCGAAATACAGTGAAAAGCTTTGTTTACGAGAGGTACAGGCAGATCACAATAAGCAAAAGGTGTACAGATGAAAAAGACCTAAAAGCATACAGGTTACATTGCAGGTTACATTATTGAGGCTGGAGTCCATTCAACAGTCTGATAAGAGGCGGAAAGAAGCTGTTTCTGAACCTGCTTGTGCGTGTGTTCAGGCTTCTGTGTCTTCTGCCTGACGGTAGACACTGTAGGAGATCATTACCAGGGTGCTATGGGTCTTTCATGATGTTGGCCTCCTTTTTGCGGCAGTGAGCTGTGTAAATGGAGTCCGTGGCATCCATAATGGTCTGGGTTGTGCACGCCACCTTCTGTAGTATCTTATAGTCCTGGGCAGAGCAGTTGCCATACCAGGCTGTTATGCACCCGGACAGTATACTTTCAATGGTACATCTATAGAGATTGGTGAGGGACCTTTTGGACATGCCAAATTTCCTGAGCCGCCTGACGAAGAAGAGGCATTATTCTGCCTTCGTAGCTGTCGCATTTACGTGGGAAGTCCAGGACAGGTCGTCGGTTATCATCACTCTGAAGAACTTGATGCTGTTCACTCTCTCAACCTCAGTTCTGTTGATGTAGATGCAGGCGTGTTCTCCCCTTTCTTAAGTCAATGATCAGTTCTTTAGTTTTGCTGATGTTGAAAGAGATTATTTTCATTGCATCACGTCACTAAGCCCTCTAATTCTCTCTTTTGTATTTTGATTTGTCATTGTTAGATATCCATCCTACAGTGGTGGTGTCATCAGCGAACTTCTAAATGGCATTTGTTTGGTATTTGGCAACACAGTCGTAGGTATTCAGGGACTACAGTAGGGGGCTAAGGACGCATCCTTGGGAGGCTCCAGTGTTGAGTTTTATTGTGGAGGAAGGGCAGTTGTATATCCTCACTGATTTCGGTTATATCTGGCCAAAAGCCTATGAAGTTGTAACATATGTCAGTGAGTTTAGGTTTGAGTTCATTGTTGAGATTACAGAACTCACTCATTACAAAATGTATATCTGAACTTATCCAGAACTTTGTAGATTTTTAAAACAGAAACAGAAATTGATGGAGCAACTCAGCAGGCCTGGCAGCATCTGTGGAGAGAAAGCAGAGTTAATGTTTAGAGACTAGTGGATGGAGAATCACTGGTCCCAAATCATTGACTCTGTTCTCTCTTCGCAGATGCTGCCAGACCTGCTGAGTTTCTCTAGTAACTACTTTTTGTTTTTGTTTCAGATATCCAATATCCTCAATTCTTTGTTCTTTGTGGATCTTTTTCATTTGTTGGTTTTAATTTCTATTTACTTCAAAATGTGGTTTACTTCATAATTTCAAAAGCATTAACTTTATTTTTATATATTCCAGTGAAGAAACTGAGGCAATAATCTAAACATCAAATATGAAGACCCCAAGAGATCGCATTGCTTCTTCCATGAATTGGAATCTATTATTGCAAGAAGTCTTTTGATTAAGATGTCTATGTTCAGATTTTTGCATATTAAAATACAATCTCTTTCTAGAAAACTTTCTACCCAAAAGCACTGTTGCAATGGATTAATGCTTTTAGATTTCAAAGCAGGCAATATAATTTTAAAATCTGAAAGTGCCTTTTGAGCTTAACCAGGCATCTAGTGACCAGGTGCTAGACTATGTTTTGTAGTCGTGACTACAGCTTCAGAGTATAGAAATTGTTAGGATTCACAGATTATCATTCAAAGATTGGTTTGGATAGAATCTAATTGGTACAAAGGCAAACTTTTCTTCCTTGAAGGCTTAGATTTTCTCATTTGGCTGAAATGTCTGAATGCAAGCTTTAGTTCGTTGGAAATTTAAACTATTCAACCTTGTTGATTCAAGGTCAATGTCTCAAGTTTTCACTATGTATAACAATCAGAATGTCAACATGAAGTTATGTGCAGAGAGAAATTCTAAGCTGCAACTGCACAGTAATAGATTACTTCTGTTTTATTACTGGTGATTTTACTGCCTTAGAGTTTGAATAACATTTTCGCTATTTTACTGGTTATGTCTACTCAACATATTTAATAATTTGTTGTAAAAGACACCAGTTGTAATTTCTAGTTTATCAATTATGTTTTACTGGGTTTTGTTTGTTTTATTACTTAGTGAATTTTTGACTTGTTTAAGAGTTTTCTGTACTGATTCTTTATAAGGCAGATTTCAGTTGGATCTTAAACCATTTCCTGTTTCAAAATAAAAGTTTTTATTTAAAACTACCAACTATTCAACATGTAAAGCATCCTCTTTGAACATGTGCGTTGATAGAAATCATTATAGTTTAAATATCTTCTGTGTAAGCTCTGTTTCTTGTCCTGCTGAAGTTGGGTAATTGCACTTTAAGCTACACAGAACTTGTTAAAATTCATTTTAGTAATGTATGTTTTTAAAGACTTGATTCCAGCCATTTTGAATACAATTACTCTTTTTTAAAAAAAAAATCTACAAGTTGGGATGAACTTCCATAAATATTAATGGATAGTCATATTTTGCAATTTCAAGATATTAAATGTTTTAGACCAGAAGTTTACAGTGTTTTGTGTGAACACAACTTGGATTTATATGTTAATATACAGCTGCTTTTAATGCAGATATTGTTTCCACAAGGAATCAACAAATTTCAATTAATGCCTTGTGTAAGCTACGGTGTTATAATCACTATCAGCAAGCAACTTAAGTATATTGCAATCAAAGTGCTTTGACAAAAAATGCCTGTAGTTGTGAAAAAATTAAACTTGGATGCATTCTTTAACTCTTGTTACTACACAGAATTTGCCATGTTTCAAACACAGTACTCTTTCTGGCTTGTAATGGTGCTGGTATTGTATTGTATGTGACCATTTTGGTGCCAGTTTAAACAGTGTCCAACAACTCCAATTCCAGTATTGGCAGTTCTGTACGTTGTCTTGAAAATGAAGGCAAAACCACTCAGGAGTGATGTTAGGAAGCAGTTCGACCAGAAAAGGTGGTAGATGTTTTGAACTTTCTTCCGTTAATGTAGTTGATGCTAAATTGGTTGTTAGTTTTCAGTCTGAGATAAATTTTTGTTAAGCAAAGATAAAGGGATATGGGCCAAATGCAAGTAAATGGAGTTAGGCTCAGTAGGCTATTCAGCCCCTCAAGCATGTGGCCTATGTTCCCTCAGATTGATTAGCCAGTCAGTCAGTCAACATGCATATTTAAGATTCTTTCCATATTTGTTTGGCAGGTAGCTTTTGAGGAGAAAAGGGAACCAATGTGAAAAAATCTGGCCAGACTAATCCCTTCACAGAAGTGGCAAACATGCAGTGTGGATTTTCACAAAGCAGAGCTGAAAATATTTTCAGATAAAATTACTTGTACCAAATGGAAATTTTTGAACTTCAAGTGTGATAATGGCCATATGGTTTAATTTTAGTAGAACATGCTTTGCATGCACATTAAAAAAAAAAAAAAACAAGTCTACCACCACCTCAGCAATTACAAATGGGAAATAAACACTTGTCTTGACTGCAAGTGGTTACAGCCTTTGTGATTTTTGATTTAGTTAACTAATTTACTGTTTAGTAACCAAAGGAAAACACAAAATATTGAAATCCTTTCATCTTGCCAACAAATGTGAACAAACTTACTTTGTTCAACTAAGTGTTGAAATGAAAGTTTTAAATTAATCTGAAATGGGGTTATCCAAATCTGATTTTCAATTGGTTGGTAACTAATAGTAGATGACACTTGATTTATGTTAGTGCTTCAAAAAGGATAAAATGGGGTGGGGGGGTAGTATGTATTTATTAGAATAGATAGAATCCCTACAGTGTGCAAATACCAAATGGTATTTGTTCAAGGAAAGAAAAAATTCTTATCAAGAGATGTTCTGGTAGTCTTGTCTTCTGAACAGCCTTGTGGCAAATTGTGAACAATTAATGCTGGTCCCACCAGTGATGCCCACACCTCTCAAATGAATATTTAAAATACCTGGGATCTAGGTCTGTCTGGAAATCAAATGAGGGCAAATTTTCAAAACAAAGTTATAAAAGGCAAGCTTTAGCTGGTCTTCTACTAAAAGATATTCTGAAATCCACTGAAACCATCCATATTGCAGGAAGTCCACAAAATAATTGAAAAAATAAATTTGTACAAGGGAGTAGGTTATACAGAAGACACTCCTGTTTGTTTAATGCCCATTTTCAACACCAATCTAAATACATTAGTGATTCAAAACATTAACAGTAATAAAGCAGTCACACATTTGGTGGTAGGCTTATTCACAACATGGATTTTTTTCTGTTTAGAAATTGTTCCATAATTACAATATATAGCACTTAAGCAGGCCACTTGGCCCCAATCATGCAACATTTATCCTCCACTTTTGAGCATCTTCCTAACTTTCCTCATTCATAACCTTTTCTCCATCGTATCTGCTACCTGTTAAAATGTATCTACAGTAATTCCCCTCAACATTACTGCCACTCTCTGGATAAAAGATTTTTAAAATAATTTGATTTTGTGGTGGCTGTCAAACTCTAATTTTGCTCTAGTCCTTCAGTGAAGATTCTGGAGGACTCTATCAAAACCATAAGCTTTCAGTCTTGTTTGAAAAGCTGAATGAACTTGTTAATTTGCTCCTGATTATAAACTTTTTTTGTGGTCATCCTTCTAAATCTTATTGCCCCACTTGTACTTTCACATGGTAGCCAAAGCTGTGCACAATAATTCATGTCTAATCTAACCAAAATTTGATGTTTCACATAACCATCCTCCTGTTCTGTCTGAGAATAACTCCATGTGTTTCATTTGCTTTTTGTGGCCTCACTAACCTTTTGTAATTTTTATGATGTATATTTTTCCTGACTGTCATTGTAGGACATATTTAAATAAGTATGATTACCTCTTTTCATAATATTTGGGAGCAGAAGTATGTCATTCAGCTCATTGAGTCTGCTCTGCCAGTAAACGGTTGATCTGATAATCCTCAATCCCACTTTCCTACCTTTACACCTTCTCAGTACAACAGCTGAAAACCACTGCTTATGGGGGAAAAGTGTACCACAAAATTCAGGAAGCGGCATAGCTTTAGCTGAGTGTCAAGACTGCATTTGTGCTTCCAATCTCCACTAGAGGCTGTGTCTATTATTGAAAGTGATATCTGATGTTTGTCAACATGCACGTGCAAGAAAAGGAAAATGCGCTCAGTTACAGTGCCTGCTTGCTCTTGTACAGGACCAAATGTTTGATATGAGCATGCATAATGATTGCACATCGCATTTCCAGTATAAGAAACTGCACTTCCAGGAAAAAGGCATGCAATTGAAACAGCTGGCAAACTGAGCTGCCTGCCTGGACATCGTTAGGTGACTATTTCTGAAATTTAGATTCTAAGTAGAAGTAATGAATATTTTTCTTGTCAAAAGAGGCAATTCCTCTGCCAATTCACTCAAACTATCCAAACCCAAAGGAGAAAAAAAAAGCAAGAACCTTTCAGAGACAGTGCAAGAAGAGCTATCTGGACTTTAGATTTTCATGGACAGAGGATACCACTTGTCCCTTACCTGAATGCCTCATGTACTGAGAGTAGTTGGCAAACACTACACTGGTACCAAGTAATTTAGATGTTATTTACAGAAAAAAACATCCATGTTTTAGGAATAAAACACAAGTCAGAACACCAGGATATAGCCCTATTGTCAATTCAGTGACTCAGAACAGCACACATAGGCAGGGAGATCAAAAGATCATATAACTGGTGTAAATGGAATGTCTGATGATAACTCTCTACAGGTGACCAAGAGAGTTAGTGAATCAAGTGTCAACAGCTGAATAACCAGTGAAGGGATGACCTATAATCCAATTAAGTGACAAATAATTAAAAATAAGGTCCTATGGAGACAAACTAAAGAACCTCCCACTGATTCTAGTCATTACAAACATACTGAATTTCCAAAGCCTTGAGGAAAAACAGGCATTGTTGTGCCTCTTTCAAGTTTATATCCTAGTAATTGGTCAATTGATACCAGATGGTAGTTGTAATACAATTAAGGATGGATTATGTGTAGCCATTAGATTCAGTTAAATACAGATGATGGCATTCTTTTGCACATCAAAATAAAAAACTGCACGTCAATTTCCTATAGCTTATTAAACAATTTGATCACAGTACAAGGCAAACTGAAGAGGCATTCATTATAATTAGACTACTTAAGCAGATTTCCCAACTTATTCAAGGAGCCTATTCAAAGAGCTAAAAGATGAAAAGACTGTATACTCTGTCTCTTAGAAATTCAATTTTTAATGTAGTTTAGGTAACTCCATCAGTTCAACTGTTCTGAACAAATATTCTCCTTATATCATTAAGCTAGATACCAGGATTAGGACAAAAATGTCCTAACTGTTCCTTTGATGGTACCACGGCAGATTGGGCACTTCCTCAGGGATGGGGCACAGTCTGTACAAACAACCAAATGACCACACATTATAAACACAACTGAGACCTCCTTGTCCATACACACTTTACAAGTTCGTTCTTCCTGCAACCTTCGCAATTGTTCTTCCATGGTCAAGCCTAAAGAAAACAGAAGTTTCATTAGTGCCACTGAGTTCGTTGCCTAAAATGTTAAAATATTTAACAATCACACTGGCTCGGTGGTTAGTACTGCTATGTCACAGCACCAAGGACCTAAGTTCAATTCCAGCCTTGGGTGACTGTGGAGTTTGCCTGTCTACCCTGTATCTGCATGAGTTTCCACCAGGTGCTCCCGTTTCCTCCCACAGTCCAAAGATGTGCAAGTTACATGGATTGGCCATGCTAAGTTACCCACAGTATTCAGGGATGTGCAGGTTAGGTGTGTCAGCCATGGAAAAATGCAGGGATAGGGTAGTGTGATGGGTCTGGGTGGGATGTTCTTCGGTGGGTTGGCGTGGACTTGTTGGGCCGAATGGCCTGTTTCCATGCTGCGGGGATTGTCATAATCCTAGTATTTACTTTGTGAAGTAATTAGTTTATCCAGCCACATGGAATAGAATTTCAAAAGCATTTGATGAACTTCTTTCTCAATCTTAAGTAAATCATAGATGTTATAGTCTGATTTTTATTTTGTTCATCATAGGATGTAGGTGCTGCTGACCAGGCCAGCACTTAACCACACTCCCTAAAGGCCCTCGAGATGGTGGTGCCAAACTGTCTTCATGAAATGGTGCACTCTTAGGATGTAGATATCCACAGTGTGGTCTGGAAGAATTCCAGGATGTTAACACAGCAACAATGAAGGCATACTGATATAGTTCTAATTCAGGATGCAGTACAGCTTGGAGGAAAATTTGCAGGTGGTGATGTTCCAATGCAACAGCTAACCTTGTACTTTTAGGTGACAGAGTGCATCTTGTACATGGTGCACACAGATGCCACCATGCATCAGTGGTGAAAGGAGAGAATCTCGAAAGTGGTGGATGTAGTGCCAGTCAAGTGGGATTCTTCATAGTAATAAAGCTTAGAGTGTCGTTGGAGCTGCACTATCCAGGCAGGTCAACAGCATTTCATCACTTTCCTCAATGTACCTTGTATTTAGTTGAAAGGCATTGGGAAGACAGAAGACAAATTATTCTGTTGAATTCATAGCCTTTTACTTGTTTTGTAGTTACAATATTTATATAGCCAGTCCAGTTCAGTTAGCAGTCAATGGTAAATCCCAGCATGGTAATAGTGGGGGATTTTGCAATGGAAGCGCCATTGAATGTCAAGGGGCAATGGTTAAGATTCCCTTTTGTGGGAGATGTTAATTGCTTGGCACTTGTGTGGCATGAGTGTTACTTGCCATTTATACGAGCCCAAGCCTGGATGTTGTCTAGGTGTTGCTGCATATGGACACAGACTACTTCAATATTTGAAAGTTGCAAACAGCCTTAAACCATTATTCAATCAGCAGTAAACATCAAGGTAATTGATGAAACAACTGAAGATAATTGGGCCTAGAACACTAACTCCTGCAGTGATGTCCTAGGGCTGAGATGATTGACGTTTCTGCAACCACAACCATCTTCCTTTGTGTTAGGCAGGATTCTAACAAGTAGCATATTTTCATACTCTATTCCATTGAGTCTAGTCTTGCTAGGGATTCTTGATGCCAACTTGGTTAGATGCTGCTTTGCTGTCAAGGTCAATCATTCTCACCTCATCTCTGGAGTTCAGCATTAGTGTCCATGTTTGGGCAAAGACTAATTTGTCCGAGTGGCCCTTGCAGAACCAAAACTTAGTGCCAGTGAGCATTATTACTTTGCATGTCCTACTTCACAGCATCATAATTACACCTCCCAACATCTTACTGATTGTTGAAAGTAGACTGATATGTGTTGACCAGTTACCACCCTATCTCACCAAACTTTGGGTAAATACCAAACTTGTAAACATACTGAAATAGCTAGTCCTCAGTACTATTACCAGAATGATGTTAGTGTCTATAGCCTGTGCAATATTCAGTGCCTTCAGCCATTTCTCAATAACACAGAATCAAATTGGTTGGGAGTACTATCTGTGATGCTAAGAATCTCAGGGGGCCAAGGTGGATCATTTAGTTGACACTACTGGCTAAAGACTGATGCAAATACTTCAGGCTTGTCTTCACTCGGGCTAGGCTCACTCATCACTAAGGATGGGAAAATTTATGGAGCCCTCAGTTAGTTGTTTAATTATCCCTCATCAGAACTATGATCTGATCCATTGGTTAGGGAATGACAGCCCTATCTACTGCTGTTTAGCATGTAAGTAGTTGTGTTGTTACTTCACCAGGTTGACACCTCAGCTTCAGGTATCCCTGATCTGTCAGAGTCACAGAGGTCTACAGCACAGAAAAAGACTCCTGGGCCCACTGAATCTGCATCAAAAACAACCAATTAACAATTCTAATCACATTTTTCAGTGCTTAGCCCATAGCCTTGTGTGCCTTGCTGCTCCCAGTATGTCCTCCTTCACTCTTCATTGAAGATTATTTAATATCTATTTTTGCTTATAAATTCTGTTCGTTTATAATTAATGCAAAAGTATAGTTGTATCTAACATGAAGGTGGTGGTGTAGAAGGAAAAAAAAAACTTACCCATCAGATCTGATGATGTTGAATAAGGCAAATTCTTTTTAACTGAAATGTAAAACAGATTAGAGATTTATATATACAGTACAGAACAGGAACAAATCTGTCTGTACAGACTAGAGACAGATAAACATATTTATGATGCAGAAGTATCCCTAAATCTTCTGTTCGAAAGTGAAAGGGCTTGAAAAGGGAAATTAATCCTGTTTCAGAGTGGGTCACTTACAAAAAGTGAATGCATTATTTTCAAAAATGAGTGATAAGGGGGACTTTAAAAGTTTAGAAACGCAGCACGAGTTGGGGAGAACAGCACAGCCAACTGAAGGCTCTGCAACAAAGTGCGTGAGGAAGAATTGGGGTGTTAAAAGTATTCACTGCAGAAACTAATGAATCTACAGCATAGTCAACATTTTCTGCTTCTATTTTAAGATATAAAGCATTCACATTATTTTGTTTTTGCAATAGTTAAATTTTAGCCAAATCAAAATCAACTAAAAAAGGAAAGAGGGAGGTAGTATTTAGCCAGGCATAAACTTCACTTTTTCAAAAATAAAAAAATCCACTTATTAGGATACTAGCATCAGTTATGCCAGCAAACATTTTGCCAACAATAACCCTACACAGTCAGCATCTCATTGTGATTAAAAACTATAACCACGAAAAATATATATAACACTGCACATTAGAGGCAAAAAGTCAATTACATTTTAATTCAGAGCAACAGCAGAACATTGCACAGAATTACAGACATAACTAATGTCCCAGGGGTTGGTGGGGGGGCAGGGGGGGCACATTTAATTACTTACCATATAACTTCTCATGCAATTCCGGTTCATTAACCAAAAGAGCACCTCTAAATGCCTCAGCTGCTGCATTTCCTTTGCGAATTATTGTATCAAGCAGCTCTCTGGCTTGTTCATTTGTCTGATGTTTTTGTTTAATCATTTCACTTTCCGTTTTATTAATTAAACTTCGTGTTTCTAGATCGTCAAGTAAGGGTGCTACATTTGTCAAATTCTGACTCAAAGCAGCACAATTTTTCTTCAGCAGCATTACATCATCTGAAAAAGGGGAAAGGAAAAATCAAGAAGTTTTTAAAATCTTGAAATTAACAGCTTTCTTATATTGGGTTCTAGAAAACAGCACTGTAACAAATGCACAGAAAATATTAGGTTAACTAATACAGATACTGTGTCCCCTGATATGATTCAAGGCCAGCACACAAAAAAAAAGTCATCCACATGGTAGAATCGTAAAGAGAACCCTCTCCCAACTCTAATTGTTAGAACGAACCAACGTAACCAGACACTCATGTTCTGAACACAGAATTTTCACCAGTTTGAACCTCAACTAAGGGGTAAAGACTATATTATGAATGTCAAAGCTAAGATCAAAATCTACCTTTGTCCTTATCCATAGACAGCTTTCTATAGGTTGCTGACAAGCAAGCAAAAGCAGCAAGTGATAATGGTTTTCATCCAAGTTAAATTGACATGAGCTAAACTGTTTTCTACCACTGCCTCATGCAAAAAAACAAATCAGCTAATTCAGCATGACTGACAACCAAATCTGGAACCGTTCCCTGTCTGCATTATTCAGCCACTTCCCTGGCAAGATGGTTGGATGATTTTATCATTAAAATTCTCTGTCCAAATTAAACCTCTTTTGAAGCAACAAAGTTAAGATACTTTTGAGTACAACTGAAAACCAAATTGATGGATTTTGGTGTAATTTCAAACAATTATATTCTCTCAAATGTTTTGAAATCTTAAATTAACAGCTTTCTTGTATTGTGCAATACATTCTGCCACAAATCAACAACTTGTACATAGTTAAAAGTATTTATTCAAAAATGCACAAATTAAAGCTGGATATATGGGTCATATGTTCTTAAGGCACATAGCAACCAAAGTTCAAAAATTCATCTGGAAAAAAAAAAAAAGTGTTCACCAACTGAACTACATTATCAAGTCATTCATATTTTAGGTACAGGTGATTTATTATAAAGACAGAAGTCACATGACACAAGGATGTAGTCCAACAGGTTTGAAATTACAAGTTTTCTGAGCGCTACTCCTTTGTCAGGAGAAGGCTTCGTCATTTCACCTGATGAAGGATCAGCGCTCCAAAAACTTGTGATTTCAAATAAACCCATTGGACTATAACCTGGTGTCGCGTGATTTCCGACTTTGTCCACCCCAGTTCAACGCTGGCACCTCCACATAATTATATAAAGTAGTCTATAATTTTTTAGAAGTATGAAAAACTATAATTTTGGATTCAAATGATGCAGCTGTCTGAAGTAAGTGATATAATTAATCCACCAGTGAAAGGGCAAATACAATTAAAATATACCTTCAGCTGCTTCTTCCAATCTTCTTTCTTTGTCTTCCCGTCTTTCTTCATCTTCGGCATTCAGCAAGTCGGTGACAAGTTCAATAACAGATTTGTAATTCTCTCCACTCGTAAGGATTTTTCGTTGAACGGTCTGCATCACGAGTCTTCGATCAAAACCCATTTCCATAGCACCCTTAACCACTGGCGTATTCATCATAATTGCATCTTCTGATCGATTTTCCCCAGCTCCAAAATGAACAACTATGAAAATTAAACACAGTAAAGTACTTTTTTTAGACAAGAAATAAAGAAACTCCAAAAAGCATCCTAAATAAATTAGAATTTAAAGACTTTCAAAACAATGCAACTCAGCACAAGACATTTAGGAAAGCATACACCGTACTTGGAAGGAGTATAGTATAAAGTTCATCAGATTGTTACCAGGGCTCAAAGGATCAGATTACATAGGCAGGTGGGGCCAATGAGAAGCAAACAACATGCTCAGGTATTAAACACATACCATCTATTTGTCTTTACCAAGGAAGAAAATTTGCCAACTTCATAGTGAAGGAGTAATTAAGACATTGAATGGGCTAAAATCTGATAGGAATTAATTGAAAAGCTGGCTGTACTTGAAGTTGAAATCACCAGGCCAGATGTATCTCAGGATCCTGAAAGGCAGCAACAGCAAAAACTTGCAAAGGCACCATAATCATCCAAACCTACTTAGATACAGGGGTAGCAACAAAGGATGGAAAGTTGAAAATGTTACCCGTTATTCAAACAGTGCAGGGATGAATTCAACAACAACAGGCTAGCTAGTTTAATTTCAGTAGTGGAAAGTTATCAGAAATAATCCAGAACCAAGTTAGCAGGCACTCCAACAAATATGGACTATTTAGGTCAATGGGGAGGTGATGGCCTAACAATACTATTGCCAGACTGTTAATCCACAGACCAGATAATGTTCTGGGGACCCAAGTTCATATCCCACCATAGCAGGTGGTGAAATCTGAATTCAGTAAGTATCTGGAATTAAGGGTCTAACAAATGACCATGAATCCACTTGATTGTTAGGAAAAACCCATCTGGTTCACTAATGTCCTTTAGGGAAGGAAACTGCCATCCTTACCTGGTCTGGACTACATGTGACTCCAGACCAATAGCAATAGGTTGACTCTGAACTGCCCTCTGGATAATTAGGGATAGGCAATAAACGCTGGCCTAGCCAGCAACACCCCCATCCCATGAATGAAAAAAAGGCTTGAATGAAGACAGCAAATTTCAAATGCAGAGGATATAGAAATTGAGGAAGGTATTGTGAACTTAAGATGGATAAAAAGAGACAAAATGGACACCGACACACTGGTGGCATTTGGCAGATGAATTATGACAGATGTATGCAGATATATTTTGGCAAGAAGGAGGAGGAGTGCAAATATAAAATAGAGGATAAAATTTTAAAAGGGAATGCAGGAGCAGAAGTCTGGAGAGTACATGTCCACAAATCGTTGGAGGCTGTAATGCAACTTAGCAGGTTAGAGAGGATGCCCAAAAAATCCATAAGAATCTAGAACTAAGGGACTACAAGGGTGCAAACAGAATGAAGGAGGTGGTCTTAGATAAGCTGATGGGAGTTTGGCTAGAAATGCATGAAATCACAAGTCTAGACAGAGTAGATAGACAGAAACTGTACTCTTTGGCAGACAGGTTTAAAAAAAAAAATCAAACTACACCAGTTTAAAGCGAAGAAAAGAACCAAAAGTAACAAGGGATGTTTTTTTTAAAAACATAGCCCGCTATCAGGATCTGAAATTCACTAACTGAGTATGTGCTGGTGCAGAAGGAATGGTTTCCAATCCATGAAGCACTGTACCAGAACAGGGGGGGGGGGGGGGTCGACAGAGAGGGAAAGAGACAGAGAGAGATAGATAGAAATAGCTTTTCCATTGAGATGGTCTTCATTCAAGCCATGCCAAGACCAGTGTCCTGGCGAAACTTACAAGTACGGCTGGTTAATTGAAGGAAAGTTTAGATACTCTAAAAGAAAAGAGAGAAGACAGATGTAGACTAATGAGGTGGTGAAAAATAACTAGTGAGACAGGAAGGGCCAGAAAACATGTGCAGAACAGTGCAGAAATTACAACCAGAGAGTAAGAATAGTTAAAAGTCAAAGCTTAATGATCTTTATCTGAATGCACATAGCACTTGTATCAAGATAGAGGAGCCACGACACAAATCAAAATAACTGAACATGAATTTGATAATTATTAAAGGAAGTATGGTCATAGGGTGACCAGGACTTGGAATTTGAATATGCAAGGTTGGTTGACAACCTGGAGGAATAGGAAAACGGATGAGGTGGCTTTGTTAATAGATGTGGTAACATAGTAGTGGCGAGTAGTGATTTAAGAGCAACAGATCATGAAGTGGAATCAGTTTGGGTGAAAATAAGGAATCACAAAGTAAGAAGTCATGGGTGGGAGGCATCTAGAAGATTCCGAACAGTTACTTCACTGTGGGATAATAGCATTTTTAAAAGATGGGAAATGATGGAGTCTTGCAAGAAAAACAATACAATTATTATGGATGATATTAATCTGCACATTAACTGGACAAATCCGATTGAGCAAGGGTGATAAGGCAAATTTATACAATGCAGAGATTGCTTCTTTCAGCAGTATGTTGCATAATTTAACTGGGAACAGGTTACTTTGGATCTAAAAACCAAAAGAACTGCGGATGCTGTATATCAGGAACAAAAACAAAGTTGCTGGAAAAGCTCAGCAGGTCTGGCAGCATCTGTGGAGGAGAAAACAGAGTTAACGTTTCGGGTCCGGTGACCCTTCCTCAGAACTGATGGTGGCTGGGAAAACGTCAGTTTATATGCAGAAAATAGGGAGGTGGGTGGGGTAGGGAGTAAACAATAGGATAGAGCCCAAAGAGAGAGAAAGACAGTTGGACAGACAAAGGAGTTGCTAACAATCAAGCTGGGAGGGTGAATAGTTGTTAATGGGGACTGTTAGTGACTAACAACAGTAAGTGTGTAGTGGCAGGCTATGTGGTAACAAGGCCTGGTGTGTGAGGTGGGGGGCTGGGACATGGGAGAGTTTAGGCCCTAAAATTATTGAACTCAATATTGAGTCCGGAAGGCTGTAGGGTCCCCAAGTGGAAAGTGAGGTGTTGTTCCTCCAGCTTGCGCTGGGCTTCACTGGAACACTGTAGCAAGCCGGAGACAGAGATGTTGGCCAGGGAGCAAGGTGGTGCATTGAAGTGGCAGGCAACAGGTAGTTCAGGGTCTTTTTTGCGAGCAGAACGTAGATGTTCTGCGAAGCGGTCACCAAGTCTATGCTTCGTTTCCCCAATGTAGAGGAGACCACATTGTGAGCAGCGAATGCAAGTTTTGGAATACACATCTTCAGTACTATTGCTGGAATGTTGTCAGGGACCATAGCCTTTGCAGTATCCAGTGTCTCCAACCATTTCTTAACATCATGTAGAGCGAATCAAAATGGCTGAAGACTGATATCTGTAATACTGGGGACCACTGGAGGAGGCCGAAATGGATCATCCACTTGGCCCTTCTTGCCGAAGATTGCTGCGAAAGCTTCAGCCTTATCTTTTGCACTGATGTGCTGGGCTCTTCCATTATTGAGGATGGGGAGCCTTCTCCTCCAATGGAGTTGTTTAATCGTCCACCACCATTCATGACTGGATGTGGCAGGACTACAGAGCTTAGATGTGATCTGTCGGTTGTGGGATCACTTAAGCTCTGTGTATCATTTGCTGCTTATGCTGTTTGATATGCAGGTAGCCCTGTTTGTGGCTTCACCAAGCTGACACTTCATCTTCAGGCATGCCCTCCTGCACTCTCCATTGAACCAGGGTTGATCCCCTGGCTTGATGGTAATGGTCGAGTGCGGGATATACCAGGCAATGAGTTTATAGATTGTGCAGGAGTACAATTCTGCTGCAGCTGATGGTCCACAGCGCCTCATGGATCCCAGTCTTGAGTTGCTATATCTAGGAGGTATTAATGAGACAAAATTAATAAGAGATCTCATAGTTAAGGGTTTCTAAGGGTCAGCAATCACAACATGGTTAATTTCAACTCAATTTGGGGGACAGCAACTCAGGTCTCAAGCCAGTGTTCTCAACTTAAATATAAGTAATTATAGAGATCTGAAGAAAGAGTTGCAAAATGTGAGCTGGGAAAATAGACAAAAGGGAAAGTCAGTGGATAAGCAGTGCTAGACACTGAAGTAGATATTTCATAATGCTGAGCAAAAATTTATTCTAGTCAAAAAGGATTCAAAGATGAATGAACTGTGGTTAATCATGGCAGTCAAGGAAAGTATCCAAAGACTAAGGCGTACAAAACAGTGAAAACTAGTGGTAGGCAGCAGTATTGGGATTTTTTTTTTTCAGGCATTAGCAGCAAGTGGATAAAAAGTTGATAAACCATGAAAAAAGTTGAATATAAAATTGGCAAGAGAATAAAATCAAATAGCAAGAGCTTCAATGGGTATATAAAAAGGAAGCAGTTGTAGTAAATGTTGGAGGCAACTTGGGAATGAATAATGGGAAGCAGCAAATAATTTAAACCAATGTTTTGCATCAGTCTTCACAGGGAAGGACACTATATTTCAAGGATAACAATCACGGTGCTAATGGGCAGAAAGAGCTTGTAACAGCCTCGACCATAAGGATCAAAGAATTTTTACAATCTAGTGGGACTAAAGGCAGCCAAATTTTCACAATCTAATGGCCTGCATCCCAGAGTTTTTAATGAAGTGGGGGCATTGGTCGAAATATTCCAGAACTCACTGGAATAGGACAGGGTTCCTGTGGACTGGAAAACTGTTAATGTCACACCCCTGTTCAAGGGAAGGAGACAGAAAACAGGAAACTATTAGCCAGTTAGCTTGTCAAACCTGGTTGGGAAAATGCTAGCATTTAAGGAAGAAATAGCAAGATATTTAGAAAAGCTTAAAGCAACCAGAAAGAGACAGTCAATATGGTTTTATGAAAAGGATATTATGCTTAGCAAATTTGATATAGTTCTGAGGAAAGAAGCAGAGATGTAAAAGAAGACCTGGTGAAAGTAGTATATTTGGATTTTCAGAAGGCATTTTGATAAGGTGCCACATAAAAGGTTATTGCACAACATGGGAGCTCAAGGTATGGGGGAAAAACATATTAGCATGGATTGAGAAATGGTTAATATACAGAAGACAGATTCAGAATTAATGGGCAGTTTTTAAAGGTTGTAAAGAAAGATATACCAGGACTTCAGTTCTTTACTATCTATATTAATGACTGGGTGTGGTGGTGGGGTACTGATGATGCAAAAGAGGTGCAAGAGCACGTTGTGATGAAGACATAAGGAATCTGCAAAAGGATATAGACAGGTTGAGTGTTCGGACAAAATCTTGGCAGATGGAGTTTAATGTAATAAAATATGACCCCATGCAGGAAGAATCAGAAGGCAGACTTATTTAAATGGAGAGACAAAGGGATCTGGTTATTTTTGACACAAAATAAGTTAACATGCAGATGCAAGTAATTAAGGCGGCAAATAGAATTTTGTCCTTTATTGCTAGGGGAATGGAATTTAAAAAACAAAGAAGTCTTGATATAACTGTAGAAGCTGTTGGTGATGCTACACCTGAAATAGTGTGTCCAGTTTTGGTCCCTGTATTTAAAAAATGACATGGTGAAATTGGAGCCAGTTCAAGAACAATTCACTTGGCTGATTCCTGGGATGAATGGGTTGACTCAGAATAGCTAAACAGATTTATTAAGGTTTAGCAGAATGAGGAGTGAAACATAGTTATTGCAGATTCTTATTGAAACATACAAGATGCTGAGGGGGCTTGTCAGGGTAAATCCTGAGAAGGCACTTTCACTAGTTTGGGTATCTCAAAACTAGGGGAGCAGAAAAAGAGGCACTCGTTTAAACTGAGATGTGCAGGAATTTGTTTTCCCAGAGAATAGTGAATGTCTGGAATTCTTTATCCCAGACAGCTGTGGAGGCTGGATCACTGAATGCATTTAAAGAGGAGGTAAATAGATTTTTAAAATACTAGGGCGTTGCGGCCATGCTGTGCAGCCACAAGAGAAGTGAGGCCTGAGACAGATCAGCCACGATCTTGTTGAATGGTGGGGCATGTTTCAGGGGTTGAAAGGGCTATTCTTGCTCCAATTCTTAGAGGTAGATCCGATTGTGAATAATTACCTGAAGCCAAAATATTTCCAAGACCATAAAAGGAAAAACTAGAACAGTGGAATTTAATTATATTTGTCTTGCAGAAATCCATAGCACAGCCTGAAAATTCTGTACATTTCTAGGAAATGAATGGACATTTCATTAACTCAGCCTGGCTCACTTCAAATCCACAGTCTGTTAAAATGTTAAGGATTTTCTGAAAATCACCACTGGTTAGCACCTGAATCACCAATCTAAAAATTTCTTCCCACCATCTCTAATACAGTGAAAGTAATGTATACCATCTTCAAGATGTACTGTAGCAACTCAAGGTTCCTTCAACACACCTTCAAATGTGCAAACTCCGGCAACAAGAAGGACATGGGCAGTAGACAAATTGAAGCACCACCACTTACGCGCAGGGGTAGGCAATGGCCTAGTGGTAGTATCGCTGGACTGTTAAGCCAGAGATTCAGGTTGGAATCCCACCATGGCAGAAGATCGAATTTGAATTCAATAATAATCTAGAATCAACAGTCTAATGATGACCATGAAACCATTACCGATTGTCAGGTATAAACCTATCTGGTCCTCTAATGTCCTATAAAGGAGGGAAATCTGCTATCCTTAACTGGTCTGGCCTACATGCGACTCCAGACCTAAAGCAAAACAATGTGGTTGACTCTCAATTGCTCTCTGGGCAATTAGGGATGGGCAACGAATGCTGGCCATGCCAGTGATACCCAAGTCCCACAAATGCATTCAAAAGCTCCCATCCAAGCCACAGCGTTCCGACTTGGAAATATAAACAGCATTTCTTTGCTACCACTGGATTAAAGTCTTGGATTGCTCTTTGTAACACCACTTTGAATAAACCCACACATCAAAGACTGCAGTGGTTCAAGAAAGCAGCTCCCTCAGATGTTCTGAGATTCATAGCCCTCTAAACAGAAGTTCTTCCTCAGCATATGAGACATTTATTCTGAAACTACGGCCAAAATTCTGGAAGGTTATTCACCTGGGGAAACAGGCTTTCAGTGTCTATTTTGTCAAATCCCTCAATTTTTTTTTTTGTTTTAACAATATCAACTCCTATTCTATTAATCTTCCATTAACACAGACCTAAACTTTCCTCACCAGACAAACCCTTCACAGAATTCAGCCAAAAGCATGTGTATTCATCCTTCAGGAAGGAAACTGAAGCAGTACATAAAACCTATAGGTTTCATCTCACTAATTATGTGTAGTTATTGCAGGCTCTCCTTTCATTTTTAAATCTCATTTGCAATAATCTGCCTTCCTAGCTATTTGCTGGAACTGCACACGAGCTTTATCAGGTTCTTACACGAGGGTACCTAGATCCCTCTAATGTATTATTCATACCAATATAAATCACCCTAATACTACCAGACCTTATCTTGCGCACTGAAATTTCTTAAGTCCTTTTGGAAATCCAAACAAAACAAATGCTTCCATCTGCGCCCTTTATCTACCATGCTTGCTACATCCTTTTAAAAAAACCCCAATAAACATATCAAATTCAATTTTTCTTTCCTATAACCGTGTTAACTCTGCTTGATTATATAATGATTTTCTAGATTTCTGCTGTTACTTCTTTAATAATAGATTCCACTATTTTCCCCCCAATTACAGATGCTAGGTGAACCACCCTATAGTTTCTTGCTTTCTATCTCTACCTTCCTAGAATACAGGAATTAGATTTACAGACCACCACAAACCTTCCAAAAAAGTTGGGAATGTTGGAGCATTACAAGCAGGGTCTGCTATTTCCGCAGTCACGTTTAAATCCTTAGATTAAAAGCCACCACACCTGGGGACTGATGTCCTTTAGTTTGCCTTGTTTTCCCACTGCCTTTGCCCCTGACATTCTGCTATTATTGTAGTACCTTTAGGAATGTTCTAGCATGAAATGAAATAGTGAATAAATATTTCATGTCTTGGACACATTCACAATTACTTCCTCAACTTATCCTCTAATTGAACAATGCTTAATTCAGTTACTCTTCCTTTTCATAGAGTTGTAAAAGGGCCTATTGCTTGAATAACAAAAAAAATTTCTTTTTTATGCAATTTTTTTCATTTCTAAACTGTCCTAATTTTCTAGCTGAGGGCTAATCTTTACTTCTATTTTCAATTTGAATCTATTCTTAAATACCCTAGTGAGCAACTGATGGCTCAGTCTTCAAGAGTTTTTTCAATAAGTGACATACCTATGATGACAGCTATAGTATGTCTGCCACTGTTTACCTTATCTTTTAACCTATACCGACTACAACCAACTTTATCTTCATAGTTTTGTACGTCCCTTCATTTAGGTCGAAGACAGTAGTTTCAGACCCAAATCTCGCTCTCTCTCAAATGAATGCGAAATACTATCATTAAGGTTTGACAGTAGATTTGTAGCTTGTTGGCTCACTGAGCTGGTTCGTTGTCCGCAGACGTTTCATTACCCTACTGGGTAACATCATCAGTGCAGCCTCCAATGAAGCGCTGACGTGTTTTCCCGCTTGGTATTTAAACTCTGGTGTCCATTGAGCTGGATTACCTCACTTCCAGTTTTCCTTCGCAATGGAGCGTATATGGGGTCTAGCTCTGTGTGCTTTGTTGATGGTCTTCTTACTGGAGAAGCAGGCTTCTAGGAATTCCCGTGCTTGTCTCTGCTTCGCCTGTCCCAGGATCCTGGTGTTGTCCCAATCGAATTAGTGGTTCTCCTTATCCACGTGGATGGAGATGAGGGAGTATTAGTCATGTCTTTTTGTTGCCAGTTGATGTTCATGTATTCTTGTGGTTAATTTCCTTCCTGTCTGTCCAATGCAATGTTTGTCACAATCTTTTCAGGGAATCTTGTATATGACATTGGTCCTGTCCATAGTGGGTAGTGGGTCTTTGGTTTGGGTGAGCAGTTAGCATAGGGTCCATGTGGGTTTGTGTGCTACTCTGATGTCCAGTGGTCTTAGGAGTCTGCTGGTCAGTTCAGATGTGTTCTTGACGTAAGGTAGTGTGATGAGTGTGTCGGGGTGTAGTATCTTCCTGGTGTCGTTTGTGTAATAGGCATCTTCTAACCCAGTTTTTCACGTATCCGTTGTCTTTGAATACTTGGAAAAGGTACTCTTCTTTTTGGCATAATTCTGTGCTGCTGCAGTGTGTTGTTGCCTGTTTAAATAATGTTCTCACACAACTTCGTTTGTGTGTTAGGGTGGTTGCTGTTGAAATTCAGTACTGGATCAGTGTGTGTGGCTTTCTTGTATACCTTTGTTAAGAATTCCCCATTGGTCCTGCATTCCACCATGATGTCCAGGAATGGGAACTGTTTGTTCTTTTCCTCTTCTCTGGTGAATCTGATCCTGAGGAGATTGAAATGCCTGCAGAGCAACGAACCAGCTTGGCGAGCCAACCAACCACAAATACCATCATGTTACAATCACGCTTACCTAAAGAATCCTTTATTGCACGTTCATTAATTAATCTTGTCCCATTACACATTACTAAGTCTAATTATTTCCTGGTTGGCTCGACATCTTATTGTTCTAACAAACAGTCCCGGAGAACTAGTTGTTCAGACGACCTTTGGTAATGTGTACATTACAAAGAACGAACAACCATTGACAAGTTTTCCAGTACAGTAATTGTAACAGTTTGTTGTTAGTTTCCTCTCAAACAAGATCATACAGAAAACCAAGGAAAGAATGAACAGTATAAAAAGATACGCAAGATTCCAAATTAATCAGGTGCATCAAGAACAGCCAAAGAGAGAGCAGGTAATTTCCACAAAGACAAAACTCAGTCTTCTCCATTAAAATTACAAAGTAGTATGGGCTAAAGGAAAGTCAGTCAGCTAGAGATGGTGAATAGGAAAGAACTTAATTGTAATAAGCTTTTTTTTAAAAAATTTCCTGTTTTCCCAAGGTCCACCAAGTTACCTGCGTTCTGAGTTTCCTCCAAAATGTCATCCGAACTGGAATGTGGCTTTAAAGAAAAATGGAAAAAAATTCATAAAGTTGAAAGGGAGATAAACAGATTTTTTTAAAAAAATCATCACTTCAGGCACTACTCTGCAGCAGTTGTAAAGAAATGCTGTTACCTGAAGATCAAATAGATTTGGAAATCTTGTCTGGATCTGGTGTACAAATGTCTGTCCCTTCTCTTGAAGAAGATATTCACATCTGAAGTGAAAACATTGGCAAGTTAAGCCAGATTTGTACAGAATATCAAATATGGAATGAGACAGAAAAGTGGCATGACCATACAATTTCTCCATTAAAATAGATCAAAATAATTCCTAAAAAATTACAAGGAATAGATGTACACATACCTTGTCCCCACAGCAGATATATTTTTGAATCCATATATTTCAAACATTAAATAGGATGTTGAAATTGCTTTCGGGATTTAACTACAGCCCCTTTAATGTAAAAGAAAGTCCTACAGTTTTTCACAGGAGCATTTTAAAAAAATCAAAGGGCTC